AGAAAACCGAGAAATGCGGCCAATAGTGCTAGTCTCCTCGGCGTTTTCCTGTTCTCGCGGTTTTCGCGTTTTCGCGGTTTTCGCGTTTTCGCGGTTTTCGCGTTTTCGCGGCTTTCAATGCTGTCTCGCAGTTTTCGTGGTTTTTGCGTGTTTCGCGGTTTTCGTAGTTTTCGTGTTTCGCGGTTTTCGCAGTTTTCGCGGTTTTCGCGATTTTCGCGTTTTCGCGGTTTTCTCGCAGTTTTCGCGATTTTCGTGCTTTGTGTTTCGCGGTTTTCGCAGTTTTCGCAGTTTTTGTTTTTTGGCTGCTTGCGCCGTTCTTGTTGTTTTCGCATTTCCACCTTTGATATTTCCATGCCATATTATTTTCAAACAGAAATCTAAATAGAGAAGTGCCGGTTTCCTTGTCATAACAGCCATTTGCAGACTTGCAAGCACGCACACACACACTTACATTACATGTCTCTTACCTTTACATTTACAATCAACTATATATACACACATAATATGCGTACTACACTTACATGTTCATGTACTTGCATTTTTGTGCACACACCAACCCCTCCATCTGCTCATACATCAACACATAGATACATAGATACAAAATGATATACACAGATACAAAAGTGATCAAAAGTGCATACATAGGCAGAAAGATAGATACAAAAACATATTTCGAACACATCACAGGACACTCCCATGCAATACAATACAAAGGAGTACAGCACAATACAACACAATACAAGACAGACAATACGCTACGCCACGTTACTTTACAACACAACACATACGGACAAACACGCAGTACATTATGTTAATTTCGTTTCCTGCCCTTCCCTTAGATTACCTGCATTGCATTGCATCAAACTACATTCTACTACATTACATTGCACTACAGTATATTTCACTACATTACAATCCATTGCGTTACACTACGCTGCATTGCAATGATGTAATTCCAAGGGTACTAACAGGAACGCACAAATAAAGGTACATACATAGAAATATGGATGTATACATAAATACACTGATTCTAGCATAGATGCATATGCACACATGTATGGCAAACATCCTTACACACACACACGCCAAAGATACCGAGATTCATAGACGCATAAATGCACAACATGCTACGACGTTACGCTGCATTTCATATACGTAGATCATGTGAGAATCGTACATACATCGGTACATGCATGTTTTCGTTGTGTTCACCGTCCGATTCATGGCAAGGCATTGCATAATGTTCACACATAGAGACATTCATAGATACATAGAGACATACATAGATACATAGAGACATATATAGAGATATGAATAGAGACATGCATAGAGACATATATAGAGACATACATAGTTACATAGAGACATACATAGCTGTACACATACAAAGATACATACAAAGATGTATCCCACTTCGCTGTGGGGCATTACATTTTGTGTTACGTGACGCCACACGACACCGCAATGCTGGATTGCACATTATACACGCTCATCCACGCATCCAAACACACTCACATATACGTTGCATTACATGCATAAATGTGTATGCCCGTAAATTAATGTACATCTTATATATATATGTATAATATATATATATCTGTATATAAATGTATAATATATATATATGTAAAATATTGTAAAATATATATGTATAATATAAATATATATGATATATGTATATATATATATGTATATATGTTATATACATATATATAACATATATATATATATGTAAGCCATATATATATGTAAATATATGTGTAATATGTATATATATATGTATAATATAAATATATGTAAAATAGATATATGTATAATATATATGTGTATAATATATATATATGTAAACCATATATATGTGTGTGTAATATGTATATATATATATGTATAATATAAGTATATGTATAATATATATAATATATATATATATATTTATGTATACTATGTATATTTATGTAACATATATATGTAATATATATATATATGTTGGTTGAAATTACAAGGCATTGCATCACATGCATCATATTACCACGCGCTGTGCCAGCTACATAAATAGATACAAAGATCGATGCAAAGAGAGGCACATGCATGCATACATACGTCCGAAACATGCATGCACACGTGCCTGCAGGCATAAAGGCAGTCCGTTAAGTTTCATTATGTTGCCACTTTGCATTGCAATGCACCACCTCGATACATACATACAAACAAACAAAGATGCCAGCATAGATGAGAACATAAATGCAGACTACAGAAATATCCATAAATATGTCCGTCGAATTTTGATTAAAAACACGGATGCATAACAAGAGCACTAAATACAGGTAGATTGGATGACAGAAAATTAAAGGTTGGGAAGGATTAGACAAGCGATAGAGGAAATAAAGATAAATAGATAGATAGGTAGATGGATAGATAGACAGATAGTTAGATAGAGAAATTGAGAGGTAGAGATATAGAGAGATAGAGAGGTACGTAGGTAGGTAGGCAGATAGACAAGGCGAAGATAGGTGATATACAGATGGACGGGTAGATAGATAGACGGCTTGGTAGATTGATCGATAGATAAACAGAGAGATGACGAGAAAGAGAGAGAGAGAGAGTGGGATAGATGCATGGATACATAGACACATAGATACGCAGATACAGAGATACATAGATTCATAGATACATAGCTTAGACACACAGACACATAGATACATAAATACATAGATACGTAGCTTAGATACATAGCATAGATACATAGCTGAGATACATAGCTTAGATACATAGCTTAGGTACATAGCTTACATAGATAGATTGATGGATGGATATGATAGATCGGATAGATTAGATAAAACAGATGGACTAGATAGATAGATTAGAATAGATAGATAGATTAGATAGATTAGATAGATTGGATGGACGGACGGACGGACGGATGGATGGATGGATGGATGGATACGTAGGTAGGTAGCTAGCTAGCTAGCTAGCTAGGTAGGTAGGTAGGGCTAGAATGAAATAATAGATCTATAGATACCGTAAAAAAAATCACATCACATGAACCTGCATTCCACTACTCTGTACTTGAAGTCCCAGCCCAACACAGATCAACACCGCTATTGCAGCACAATATAATTATTTTGCATTGACGTGCCGCTAGATCCGGAGATGATCATAGCTGTCCAACTTTCGCGTTCTTGTACTTCCGTGCGCGTTTTCGCGTTTTCGCGTTTTCGCGTTTTCGCGCCTGTTTTCGCGTTTTCGCGCGGAAATGCCGCGCACCACCGGGGCCGAGACACACACATTTCCTGCACAGCTAATATGTTGGGTAGTATAATCCCCTATAATCATCAACCAGCCAGGGTTTTGAACACTGATCAAATATCATCAGAAGCTGACCATTCTGCAAAGGATTGAATCCGACGACGCAAAGATGTCGGCTGTCGAAACTCCTCGATGCCAAAACTTGCCCAACTCACATGTTCTGTCCAACAAATGTGTAGATTTGAAGTATCCTTGGCAGGAAGCACTGAGTTTTGCCATGTTTTGCCATGTTTTGCCCCACTGTAGCCATGTTTGGTGACATTCCCACTCTTGTAGCCACTTATATAGATGAACTGATATTGATTGGACTCGGGCCGCCTTTCGGAAAGTCCCCACCTCGTTTGCCAGACCTCCAGCTATTCCAGAGCCTGGATGGGATATGGGGCCCCCAAAAAAAAATGGTGAATTTTTTGAAATATATCCACTTACAACTGGAACTGCACTTCCAAGAACCCTCTTGAGAATTTGGCCAAAGATCAATACTAGAGCAGCATTTAGAATTTAGAATTGATATAATCCCTACCATTTTTCCAGTTCTTTTCCCATTGTTTCTCCATTTTCTCGGTTTTGGGAATGCAAATTTCGGGGGGTCCCAATGTCTTGAAACAGGCATCACTTCTTCGGTGAAATGATCTGAAGTTAAAGGGAGATACCACCCCCACAAATGAAGTCTTCTTGCAAGTGAGTCATAGTCCCTCACATTTGCCAAATTCGGGTTGGAAGAAGCCTAAAGATTCCTAAAGGATATCCTCACCAGCGAATGAGTTGTTGACAGCACTTCTCCAGTTGTCTGTTAAGAACCATATACTGACTCTGAATACATCCATTGTTTTTGCAAACGTAATATTACTGAAGTGCGCAAGAATTGTTTTGACAAGTTGAAAACCTGACCGACCCTCGTTTCGGCCTTTGACAACCTTGTGCTTGCACACTTACTTGGGAACCCTGAAAGGGGAACCTTGCTTTGCAACCTTGGGACTCTTGGCAATGCTCAAAAGCCTTCCCAAGAAAGCTTGTCCGGGAAGGGAACTGTCCTGAAAGACCTCATTTCGATTTTTTTCATTCAAACATTATATAATTATAGGAAGTCTAATATTGCCAGGGTCCTTGCTTGGGAACCTTGCTGACCTTGCACATCCTGCTTGGAAAGCTTGCGGAAACGCCTAGGGAACCATCTGGAAACTATGTCAGGAAAACGTTTACTTCCAGCTACTCCGAACCTACACCGGAGCTGTTTGCTATGGCAAAACGCTCCAAATGCAGCCGATTTGGAGCGTGTCGGATACCAGCCTCGAGAACCAAATTGGAGCGACCTGCAGTTCAGCAAGTTACAGCAAGTTCTGTTTCCATGTTGCAACATAAGCTGTGAAGAGACCGCCCCAAGGATCCTCCAGTTAGGGATCTATACAGTCTATACATATTGTCCATATGAACCATTTCTGGGGATTATTGGATCCAATGCGCTCGTTGGACCAAATCTTCCGCAAACCCGTTAAATGCCGGAGGCCAAGATTTTCCGCGCCACAAATCTCCTGATTTTTCCGTATTTTGGGTGCCCCAATAGCAAGAAATCCAATAGTAAAATCATGCTCCCCCATCTGCCGGAAAAATGGAAGCGTCTCCATTTTTGAGGCAATCATTGATCAAAACGGCCCAAGAATCATTCGGCATCCGGAAATCCGAGAGACATCTCCATGTCATCGTTCGACCCGGAGACCCAAGACTCTACCTCGAAAAGCGAGGGCGACTGCCTGGGTAGCTCCCACTTAGATCCTAAGTGAGAAAACTCTACGCCAACGAATTGAAGGCGTCGGCGTTGCTGAAAAAACGCCTTGGGAACAATGTGTAAGTTTTTGATATGTCTGGGGTGAGGAAGGGTATGGAACAAGAAATAGTAAGGCTCACTTGAAACTGGCGGAGATCTTTGGACAGCACTTTTGAAACTTTGCAAAACAACTCTGAATCGAAAAGGCAAAAACTGCAGACCAGCGTAATTCCGTTGCATTTGTTGTCGGATGTAGCCTGTCATGGCCCTAGCGGATGGTGCAAAACAAGATAAACAAGCCGTCGAGCACTTTTTAGTGGGATTTTTAGCTTGAGCCACAAAGGCCAAGCATCCGTTTGGGACCATGTCGAATCACGCAGAGGAAAGCCCGATGCCTGTGGACTTGCCTCGGCCTACTTTCGGGAGATTGCGGAGAAGGGTGACGATTGCTCCGACACCACCTCCTTCTTTGCCCTCTTTGTCATCAAGACGGTCGGCGAGTGGGAGTGCCTCACCTCAGCGTCAGGAGATGCCTCGGCGTTGGGAGGGACTTCTAGCGAAGGTGACCCTGGTCTCGGGTCAGCAGAGATCAGAGAGGCATACATGCTAGCCGCTGGAGGTTGGAAACGGGGCGAGAGGAGGTGACGGAGGCCGATCCTTCGCTGAATGATCCTTGGATGGGCCGAGACAAGTCCTTGCAGTGGGCGACACGAAAACTGATCCAATATTTCGGATCCCGAGCAGGAGATGAGATCAGAAGTTTCGGGAACGTCGCAGGACAGCTCACGTGGAATCAGGGGTAGCAATTGGTACTGTGGATGGGATGGTGGTCAGTGGAGCCCTGGTCCAGCTGGCGCATGCCTTGACTTGGTGCAATTTATCAAAGGTGGTTTTGGCTTGGCTGAGAGCCCTCGGCTGTGGTTCAAGAAGCTGCAGCGGACAGTCAAGTCCATGGGTGCCCGGGAGTGGGCACTGATCCCAGGAATCTTTTCCTTTTTCCACGAGGGGAAGGTGATTGCGATGACACCCGCATGATTGGACATCCTGAGCAGGCCAAGCCGGTGTGGGAGAAGCTGAAGGCAGAGCTCACCTTCGGTGAGTGGCGAGATGAGCAGCTTGACCTAGCCCGCACGCTGGTAGGGCTGGCACGCGCAGTGGCCAAACACAGTCTAGTGTTATCGGCTTGGGAGGGAGTCGAAGTTGAAGACATTGCTTTCTTGCTTGGAGACCGTGCACCAGGAACTCTGCGGAATCACCTTTCAGGTTGGCGTAGGTGGGCGAGCTATTGTCAGGGGGTCAGGTTCAACGAGATTCCGGATAAGGTTCCGAAGGTTCCGGAGAAGGTCGGGGAGGGTTTGGTGCAGAGCCAGGTCAGGTCCAACAGGGTTCCGGAGAAGGTTGCAGAAAAGGTGAGAAGGTTCCGGGATGCTTTGGTGCAGAGCCAGGTCAAGTTCAACAGGGTTCCGGAGAAGGTTCCAGAGAAGGTCTGGGAGGCTTTGGTGCAGAGCCAGCTTAGGTTCAACGGGATTATTCACGGAAACCCACCTGAGGTGTTTCCAGCACTTGGCTTTGCGACACGCTTCAGCAAGAAAACGTTGCGGCTGTTGGGGATACCACCGAAGCTTATTTTCATTTGGGGTGGGGTGGGGTGGGGGTAACGTTCATGTCAACTTGAACACACATGGATTGTATGGTGCGCATAGGGCTACAATATGCATATTTTTCATTTGGGGTGGGGTGGGGTGGGGGTAACGTTCATGTCAACTTGAACACACATGGATTGTATGGTGCGCATAGGGCTACAATATGCATATTTTTCATTTGGGGTGGGGTGGGGTGGGGGTAATAACGTTCATGCCAACTTGAACGCACATGGATTGTATGGTGTGCATAGGGCTACAATATGCATCTCTGTCATTTGGGGTGGGGTTGGGGTGGGGTGGGGTGGGGGTAATAACGTTCATGGCAACTTGAACATACGTCCTGCTACGCTGTGGAATTTTCTCTTGCACTTGCGCACATACGTCCTGCTACGCTGTGGAATTTTCTCTTGCGCACATACGTCATGCTACGTTTTGGGATCTTCCGACCGGGATTGTTTCTTGCACCTGCTTTGTGTCTGGTCTTCTCTAACTTCGATCTCAATCTTCTAATCTCGAGGGCGGCCTTGGAACTGCAGCTTTCCAAGCGATGTCCAACTTGGCCGCATCCGAGACATGTGCGAGGCATTCGATCTTAAACTTTGTCAATGTTACATTCGTGCAAACACTCAAAAAACTGTTCAACATGAAATCTAGATTGTTAGTTTTGAAATCTAGATTGTTAGTTTTGCGGTCTCTCAAAAAGCCTGTTCCAAGACTTCAACTTATCGATGTTTCGTTCCATAATTCAGCTGAGATATCCTGGATGTAAAAAACTTTGGGAAAACCATGAAAAAACAACATCCAAATGCCTGCGGAACATTCAACTCAACTGAGCATCAGGAATCCAAGATCAAGACGCCACAGAAACCACTAAGGTTTCTATGTGCGCGCATGCGCGCAGCCTAAAATGGTGGCTACCAGCCCACCTTTTCCCATCTTTTTGGCTGGTATCCCCGTGCCAAGACTGGCCAAGCTCGTTACGCCGGCCACATTCCGCTGGCCACATTCTGAGGCATCGGGCGGAACGAATGATCCGGCTAGCCACATTCTTGGCGCTCTCTTTCATGGCATTGAGGGACTCGGTGCTTCGCTGGGAAAAGTTGTGGAAAAATATGTGGAACCGGCTGGTGGTGGAAAACATTCTGCAACAACCACATTGACTGGAGAAAAGGAATCAAAATGCGGGATGTCAATGAACTAACAAATTGAAACAAATGGTTTGAATATACTCCAGTTCTAATTTCTATTTAACCCTAAGATGGAGGAGATATTCAACACCAAGACACAGCAACATGGTGAGCCAAAAATCAGATTCCATGACTCCCGGGTGCCCAACATATGGTTCCACACGTTCTCGACTCCTGGACACTGGACCAAAGCCATCACCTGCAGACATGGAGGATATTGAAATCCCTTTCCGGTCAAAAAAACAACTTAACAAACCAGAAAAGCAGGGATTAGTTGAAAAAAGGGCGCCCGCAAGTCTTTTCCCACAGACAGTTTCCCTATTAAAATGTCCAAATGAGTCTACGAGTCTACATCAATTTCAAACACAGCCACTTTGTCTTTTTGCGAAACTCCAATTGGCCGTGCCTGCCATAGCCATCAACTCTCAGTCAGATCGATCCGGTGCCGGTAGATGATGGTAGCTGCTATAGATACAAGGTGCTTTGACAAATTGAGATCCATTGTCTTGAAATTCATAACCCAAAAAAAACACCCACAATCCAACAACTATCAACAACTGCAAAGCATCAGATTTTTTGATTTGGAAGCCAGTAGGGTGTCACCAATGCACCAATGTAACAAAGTACAACCTGCAAATTGTCTCTCAACTGATGACCCCACGAAAATCAAGAAACAAGTGGGCAAAATGTCCTTGAAGCGAACGCGCACGGGTTAATGTGCCAAAAGCAAAAAACAAAAATGTCAGAACCATTGGCGAAGGGTAGTTTGTGGTTCGCAAACCGCAATGCTCTCTTTTGAACGTAAAGAGAAAATGAGCAGTGTTCAAAACCCAGTGCCATCCCTTCTCTGCGCACGGTCTCGGGGTGACAGATTGGTTGAGAACGGGATTCGCCGGGTTTGAATTATCACAAGGTTTGGAATATCCAGGGATGGATCGTTGGGATGTCGCCCAAAAAAATCGACAAAAATGTCGACAGCAGGACGACTCAAATTCACGACATTGGGATGAATACAACGAAGATGACAGGATTATTTTGATGTGGGTCAAAATGGAAGACCTAGGGGACCACAGATGGAAATGTCTAGTTTAGTATTAACCATCCAATTCTTGGGGTACCTAATTTTGACTCATACCCTGATGAGGACATGCTACCGTTTGGTTATGACTAACATAGCTATGGAAAGATCCACCCATTTTTCATTGGTAAATCCATGGATAAATCCTCTATAAATGAACCAGTTTCCATAGCTATGTTAAATAGCCAGAGTGTACTGATGATGATGATGATGATGATGATGAGGGTGACTGCTGTGGCCTTATAAAATGATTTATGTGTTATCATTATTGTTTTTGGATATCATTATATCATGTGTACTGCTGGTATCGTTATCAGTACTATCATTGCTATTATGGTTGCTATGTGTGTGTGTTTGTTTGTTTTTCATGTTCGGTTCTGATGAATTATCATCCATCCTGCATTAACTGGCATATAATTATCATTCGCGACCATTTTCATTAACATATTAACGTTGCTCATAATGATCATTGTTCATGTTTATATAACCACCATCAATTACCAATAACTATCAATGATGGTGGCTACTGATCAATCATCGAAATCGTTCACGACTAATCTAATTCCCTCAATTAATACTAGGTAAGTAGTGCTGTGACTATGATGTAGGAATCTGGTGATGATCATTGCTGTTATCACCATCACGACCGCGAGTATGATGTGATTCTGGGGAGGGTCCACGAATAACCGCTAATGGATGAAAATTGAAATCAATAGAAGTTGAAGTGCGTGTATTTTCGAGGTAATCCAGTGCCCCCGATACAATCGCGAATGGCATTGCAGTGACATGCTTGCAAAGCACTTACAGGCGCTCTGTTCCTTCTTTTTCTTGCTACCCACAAGATGCCAACGTGTCACTTTCCAGGCGCAGCACAGCAGTCTGCTTGCACAAGTGTTCCTGTACACATCTTTCAGTAGCGACTTGCAAGTTGATCCTTAGTGGTGCACACTACCGAACATCACCTTCCTGTCCTGGTGAACGAGGGAGAACAAGGTGGTTCTACTGTTCTACGCAACAAAGATTGTCTTTTTTTTCGTGGCCCTTGAGCCACAAGGACGCGTAGGCCATCTTTCGGCAACAACTGAATGATTCTTACCTGTTGTCTCGGCATGTCTTTGCTACTTTGCGACAGACTCCATTGAGAGATGGCTATGGATCAAAATGAAACAAAAGGGTCGTTTGCGAACCAAAACCGGGTTACGCCATTGAAATCCACTGATTCTTAATCATCATTTTCGCCTCCGGTTATTGAACGTTGCCATGGAAAATGACCCGTTTGTAGATGATGTATCTTTTCAGCATGACCATTTTCCATTTCTGTGATGGATTACCAAAAGTAACTTGGGGATCGATACCCTCAATGGATTGGTTTGTCGGAAAATCTCAACCGGAAATCATGGATTTTCCCATGCAGATCATGCGGTTGTTCCTGTAATTTTCCTTGAAACCCATCCGGGTTCGTCTCGAAATGGGATACCTCTAATTCCAGTTGTTTCTCATCATTTTCCCTATTAAAATCGTTTTTTGGGAGGCTATGAGGTTATACCGTTATCCAGTTATACCCCATTTTCCCATGCTGCCATATCTGCCATGCTTCAGCACTTGCAAAGCCTGGAGCCGAGCCCCAAGGCTGCCAGCTCGACAGCAGCCCGACAGCACAGCAGCGCTGGCAACGGCAACGGACCTGGGCCCATGCAGCAGCAAGGACCACCTCCAGGGGAAGCTCATCAGGTTGGACGCATCCACCAAGTCCGCCTCCAAACAGGCGGATTTGAGTTTTTTTCATGATTTCTAATGTTAGTAAAGCAATATGCCATGTAAATAAAAGCGTAAATCCATATTGATAATATGTAAATCCCAGCCATGTTGTGATGGTTGGAATCCCACCCATGAAAATGGTCAAATTGGAAATGGTTTGCTATTGCATACTATTGCTTTACCAACATGAAAATTGATGCTCACCATTGCTCGACAGTGTTTGGCAAATAAAGCCACCTGACAGGGGCAGGGTTTCTTGATAATGGGACCCCTACTCGCCTACTATGTTCAGGGTCGTTAACCTTCTTTTGAGCCCGGAAAGAGCAGTTTGGTGGCTGTCGCGCCTGACCAACTGGACCTAAGGTGTGGAGCAACTGCAAGCCTTGCTGCCACTGGGCAAGGCGCTTGCAAACGCTGATCGCGCCACTGTATGCAGCTACTGCCGCTCCATCCTCAGTGCAGCCCTGACCGTGAAAAATTCGATATGACAAAGAAACACTGCAGGATGGGGCCCCATAGTTAGCTACGTTGGCCTATAACTATAATAACAATAATGTATGATACAGATGGGGGCGTAAACCAACTTATAACTGGGGGGAGCCATCCTGCGCAGGACAAAACCCATTTGTGCAAAAATCCAAGGGTCTGGCACAAAGTCTTTTGAGACACTGCTGAACAATTGCAATGCGGTCTGCCACTGGGAGGCCTTCTCACATGCACTGATGCTTGCACCGCAGGTGATGACTGTCGGTGACAAACCACCCATCTGCAGCTCAACCAACAGCGACAATACTCGTTCCCACTGCACACATTTAGCACAGGCACTGATGACAGCGTTGAACATAATGATGTCCTTCCGGTTTCAGGCGGACGTGTATCCCTCACATCACATCTTCCTGGAGATACTACAATATCCTCTCAAATTCATCAGGTCTGAAATAGCAAAAGTCAGTACATCATTGCTTGTGTAAAAATCCGCCGGCCTACCGGCGTGTCTTGTGGATCTTGCTTGTTCGTAGTTGTACTGTCTGTTTTGTCTTTGTCTTGTCTAGACTGTCCCCTTGGCGCAGATTTTTGCCTCGCCCACCCCCCCTCCCCCCACCTAGCTCTTCTTCGTTTCGTCTTGATCTTTCCTTACATTTTGGTGGGCTCAACTCTGCCCACGCCTCGCTCAACACCGGCTTGGTTTTGCACATCTTGCTGTCATTTCGATGGTTGTTTTTTGTTGTGTTTGCCATCGGTTTGCTCCGTCGCTTCTTGTATCCAATACTTGATCCACTGGCTTTTGTGGCGAACACCTTTTACACGCATAACCTTTCTAATATGGCCTTTTCCAAAGCCGTTCTCAATATGATTCAATATGGCCTTTTCCAAAACCCTGGTTTACACACATGCTTTGGTTTAAACTTCAACCGTGGTTTGAACAAAAACAATGTTTTTGCGTCCAAACAATCTTTTACACAAAGACCTTTTTCACACAAAAGCTGTGTTATCCACTAAACACCATGTTTCACACAAAAACCATGTCCTTGCTGCGCCAGGATAACTCTTTCCATGGTGGCCGGAACACGCCGAAGGCGGTTAACGTCGAAGAATCTGGTGGATTCCAATTCTAAGATCTCAGGGATTTTGTGCGCCCTCTGGGGGGTTTCCCAGCCAGGTTCAAACCAAGTCTCTGCACTCAGTCCCTCACAACAAGTTTCAAAGAGGTTCAAAGCCTTATACCAGAGCTCTGCTGTGTCACAAGCGCTGATGGCTGAGTTGTAGGTCACCTTAGCAGCACAATGTGAAACCCGGTGGTTGGAGCAGGGGAAACCACCATGGAATTGACTCTTGTTTGTTTGGGGCTCCAGGACTCAATTATTTTGAAATGATTAAAATGGAAGTCACACCCTCACACCCAACAAATTGTAGGGCTGTGATGGAGTCTCAATAAAGTTTGCTGTGGAATTATATAAAAGCCACTTTTTCGGATTGCGGGATCTGTGGGGAAGCTGGGCTGGGACAAGCGGCAACTGACGGGTGCAAGGCAAGCGGAGAACCTTTCATGAAGTCCAACACTGCCAATGACCTTGGCCATTTTGACCCCAGCCCACATGCGCTGATTGCCGCATTGCAGGTCATCCGATCCGCGCATGAATGATCCAAAGCATAAAAAAGCAGAAACAAAGCTTGCCTGAGCGGTGCGGTTGATAAACTCTCATCCAAGGCTAAAAAAAGATGCGGCAATTGATCAATCTCCCAAGAAAAAACATCGCTTCGCAGCCCGGCACACAAAATGGATCGTCGGACCTTTTCGCACCCCACAAAAAAAAACAGCACAAAGCGGCAAGCACGGGAAATGCTGGAATAGTGGGCTCCAAGAGACTCCAACATTCAATTGCATTCAGTTTCTTTTTTCCATGGCTCCCCCATGATATTTTCCTTTAGGTTCCTGGAATAGGTCATAGGCACGATTCGGTGGTCATGGCGTTCATCTGTGCGGCCCAGCTACTGCCATTCTTTCGCTTCCTCACAAGCACTTACAGCAGAACTGCAAGAAACTATGTTAGGCTCCAGCTGTTTCGCTCCGAATTCGGCCAATATCATAAGGGCAAATTGCCATTGACCCCCTTTGCCACATGCGTCAATTGCGGCATTCAATGTTATGACATCTTCCTGAAATCGCATGAGATGCATGTTTTCCAATGTGGCAAGCGCACGTTGCCATTCTTCGCTCTTTCCGAATGCACTGATCAAAGCATTCCAAGTGGTCACCGTTGGCCGCAATGCCTTGACAAATAGCTGAGAGAAGAGATGAAGAGCACGTTGCCATTGGTGGCCCTTCTCCAAAGAACTAATGGTCGCATTGCACAGGATGATGTTCATCTGATTCTTGGATTCAGCCTCAAAAAATAAGGACAAAGCTGTCTGCCATTGAGAAACCTTCTCACATGCACTGATGCTTGCACCGTACGTGATGACTGTTGTGGACAGTCTACCTAGCAGCAGTTCATTGAGGAGGGACAAAGCTCGGGTCCATTGCAAACCTTTGGTGCAGGCAGTGATGCTCGAATTGTATGAAACTACATCTGGTCGCCACCCATTCACCAAGACTAAACCGAAGATTCCCAAGGCATCGGACCATGGACTACTTGAAATCTTGGAGTTGTACGACACCGTCGTAACATCATCGACGTTGCGCGAAATCGTTTGGTCCTGCTCCCCCCATGCCATGGTGACCCCAGAGAATCCCATCAACGTGTACACCCCTGAAAATAAAGTAGGCAAATCCACTAATTACCAAACATCGCGCGGTTTTGAATGTTTTTTCAAGGAAGGGATTGTCTGCCGTGGATGATGTTTCATAATATTTTGTGAAGATATTGAAGCCCTTGCAGCCTTTATTTGGGGATCATTGAGGAAACCATGGTTCTGCAAGGCAACCAGCGATTGCGAACATGTTCCAAGTTCGAATCGCACAGGTTCCGCATTTGCATTCACTAAGCACGTTCGCACTTGATGGATCTCTCGTGCGTGCCTTTTTTGCAAGTAATTGTTGATGTTGTGTTGATCTCTACTGGTTCATCTTCCCGAAAAGCAAAAGGTGGAGGGCGTGAAGAAACCTAAAAACTCCAAACGCCAACTGCACTAATATGGGTGTCTGAAAATGGCGTGTTCACCCGGCCATTGTCAAAAACAAAATGCAGCCCACGAACCCGAATGCAGTCACGTAGAACACTTTGCGAAAGTAAAGTGTAGGGTCTGGAGTTTGGAGTGTGAAGTGTGGAGTGTAGAGTGTAGAGTGTGGAGTGTGCAGTGTAGAGTGTGGAGTGTAAAGTGTAGAGTCTAAAGTGTAGAGCGCAAAGTGTGGAATGTAAAGTGCTGAGTGTAAAGTGTGGAGTGTAAAGTGTAGAGTGTGGAATGTGTAGCGTAGAGTGTGGAGTGTGGAGTGTTGAGTGTGGTGTGTAAAGTGTACAGTGTAAAGTGTGGAGTGTAGAGTGTGGAGTGAGGAGTGGGGAGTGTAAGTTGTGGAGTGAGGAGTCTACAGTGTAAAGTGTAAAGTGTCGAGTGAGGAGTGTAGAGTGTAAAGTGTAGTGTAAAGTGTAGAGTGTAATATGTAGAGTGTGGAGTGTAAAGTGTGGAGTGTAAAGCGCGGAGTGAGGAGTGTGGAGTGTAAAGTGTGGAGTGTAGAGTGTAAAGTGTAGAGTGTAAAGTGTAGAGTGTGGAGTGTGGAGTGTAGTGTCGAGTGTGGAGTGTGGAGTGTGGAGTGCAAAGTGTAGAGTGTGGAGTGTGGAGGGTGGAGTGTAAAGTAAGGAGTGTGGAGTGTAAAGTGTGGAGTGTAAAGTGTGGAGTGTGTAAAGTGTAGAGTGGTGGAGTGTGGAGTGTGGAGTGTGCAGTGGGTAAAGTGTAGAGTGTGGAGTGAAAAGTGTAAATTGTACAGTGTGGAGTGTGGAGTGTGGAGTGTAGAGTGTGGAGAGTAGAGTGTGGAGTGTAAAGTGTAGAGTGTACAATGTAGAGAGTAAAGTGTAGAGTGTAAAGTGTGGAGTGTAAAGTGTGGAGTGTGGAGTGTAAAGTGTAGAGTGTGGAGTGAGGAGCGTAAAGTGTAAAGTGTAAAGTGTGGAGTGTAGAGTGTAAAGTGTAGTGTAAAGTGTAAAGTGTAAAGTGTAAAGTGTAGTGTAAAGTGTAAAGTGTGGAGTGTACAGTGTAAAGTGTGGCGTGTGGCGTGTGAAGTGTGGAGTGTGGAGTGTGGACTGGAAAGTGTAAAGTGCACAGTGCAAAGTGTAGAGTGTAAAGTGTGGAGTGTGGAGTGTACAGCGTAAAGTGTGGAGTGTGAAGTGTGGAGTGTGGACTGGAAAGTGTAAAGTGCAGAGTGCAAAGTGTAGAGTGTAAAGTGTGGGGTGTGGAGTGTAGACTGCAAAGTGCGGAGTGTAAAGTGTAAAGTGGGGAGTGTCGTGTGTAGAGTGTGGAGTGTAGAGTGTGGAGTGCAAATTGTGGAGTGTAAAGTGTGGAGATCCCTGCTGGTTCGATTCTATAGGGACTAAAACGAAATTCCAGGACCAAGGAGGGTTGATTTTCTCTTTAGAATAGAAACCCTACCAAGCCAGCAGCCCTCTGCCACAGTCGCAGCAAAACGAGCATTTCGTGCGAGACTTCCGCTAATTTTGACACTTTGTAGCTTCAAAATCGACGTTTTCCTACGAGTTTTCTTATGAACATCTAAATTTGCTACCTCAAAAACGATGTTTCGTGCGAGGCTTCCGTCAATTTTCATCACATCTCACAAAACGCCACGCCTGCCACGGAATCTGCACCTTGTCGCCACTTGACGCAGCCCTGCCAGTGCGATTTGCAAAAAACATGCAACACGACACGTCTGAGTGCTGTGCCTGCCACGCAAAATGACGATGGACACGTCTAAAGTGCTGCGCCTGCTAAGAATACTGCAACGCATCTTCTGAAAACGTCGCAAAAGTATTCGCCTGCCACACAAAACGACTTTCGACACGTTACAAAACACGTGTGAATGTCACGAAGTGCCACGCCTGCCACGCGCAGCGAAGCAACGCCACATATGAACCCTTGCTACGCATTCGGAAAAAAACGTGTTTATAACGGTGATTAATTATGATTAATCAGTGCGTTATTGGTATCTGAAAATGATTTAGGGGTGCTTGGATTTCGGCAGATTAACAGCCCGCCTTCTCCCACTGTCCCCGATCCTGGGCGAAGCGTCCAGGGCTCCACATTCACATGAGCCAAACTGCGAGAATCCAAGCGAGACCCAGTGCCAAAACCATGCCGCCAGCTCTGTCAAAAAAAACACCCTAATAGTTTGCAGAAAGCACTGACTAAAATGTGATCAAAATGCGGAATGTAACGAGTTTTCATAGAACACGTCAAAACAGAAGATGACTGCAAAGCAACTGCTGCTTGCACACTGGGTCACGCAAGCAATACCCGGAAGCCGCGCGGTTTGCGCACGCCCCGTTTTCTCGGCATCAAAGCTTTGCAGATACCGGCCAAGTCAAAGATCATGGAAATGGACCCACTCGCACGTTGCGCCATGGAATACTGGCTGCAAGGACAAGGAGGACTGAGGCAAGGGGCGGCTTTTTCAATCCGCGCTGCCAGCACAAACGATTTCAGGTTTAGGTCCTTAGAGCAGGTTGGGTCATGGGTTGCCGACCGTCGGGACAGCTAGGACGACTGTGGAGAAGGACGGCTTTGGCAAGGCTCGCTGCCAGCACCAACGGCTTTAGTCTAGGCTAGACGCTCAATGAAAAAGCTCAGCTTGAAACAGAGTAATGCAAAGAAGAATCTATTCTAGCGGGGTCCGGCACTGAACCTTGCGCATGCGCAGCTTCAATCTTTGCTGGCCCTTGCACTCTTCAATCTTTGAACAAATATAATACCCCTGCAGTCCGTAACATGTTCTTCTGGCCAACCCGGCCAAAGATGGAGTCGACTTTGCTTCTGTCACAAAAGGGCAGCATGAATATCCAGCCTGGGTTTTATTCTCTTCCAAACACACATGCATTGCTCCGAGCGGGCTCTAGGGACATTCACCGCCAAGTGACCAAAAGCCTGCGACATCAAAGTCTCTTCAGCTTGGCCCTGAAGGATTTTTCGTCAAAGGGGCATTGTGTTCTTTGCAGGCTGTCAAACTGAACGATCCTGAACTTTCTGCTCTGGTAACCATGGACTGCAGCGTCAAAGTTCAAAGCCCGGCTTGCGGGAAAAAAAAACGTCACCCTTGGTCTGTAGGATGTCAGTCCCAGCGCCGCTGCTTGCGCATGCTGTGCGAAATCTCTGCAGAAGGGCCATATGAATATCCAGCCTCTGCTGCATTTGCTTTCAACTTCACAGGGATTGCTCAACAGGCTCTAAGGACATTCACCGCCAAGTGACACAAAGACTGCCAGATCAAAGTCTCTTCAGCTTGACCTTGAAAGCTGTTGAAAGATTTCTCGGTCAAACGGGCACTGCGTTCTTCACAGACTGCGAAATTCGTGAATCACATACTCTCGTCTCCGGTACCCGTGAACTCCAAAGCATATGCACTCTAGCAACGCTGGCAAAGTTCAAAGCCCGGTCTTGCAAAAGCCAAAGCTTGACCCTTGGTCTGCAGGATGCCAATCCCAGCACTGCTGTTTGTGAAAGCTGGGCGACATCTCTGGTAACATATGGACTGCAGAACAAAATGCTCTGGTAACATATGGACTGCAGAACAAAATGCTGTCAAATGGTACATATGTTCTGCAGTCAGAGCATCCCTCAGACCGAAGGGGACGGTCTGGACTGGCCCTGAGAATTCCCTTGCTTTGGTTGCATCTCCGTGGGAAAATGTGTTTACCATAAACATCACCTGGGAGGCAAATTCCTGGGAGTCATTGCAAGGCCGAAATCAGCATGGTTTCTCCCTGTGCTGCCGTCGACGCTTTTCAGAACGGAGCAGTGCTGCCAGTGCTGCCAGTGCTGCACATCAAATTTGCGCGAATTAACTAATTTCATTTTCCCACCTAGAGCTGCTCGATTTTTTTGAAGTTTCAATAATATGGTAATTAGTAGTGCCCCATATATAATCAAACCGATTTTTGGGATGTGCTTTGTAAGGGGAACAATGAGTAAACTGCGGATGGTTTAAGACAACTAACATGGGTTTGACACCACAACCAGTGATGCAACGCCACTTTGATGTCGCTTCTCATTTGATATCCGTAATATCCGAATGCGTCCTGTTGGGGCAGATACGGCAGAGCTGGTTCCCAGTATGAAGCATTGAAGAGCTTGCAAAGGCAAAGATTGTGCGCCGTTTGGCGCTCTTGGGATTGGCACTTCAAACCGCACAGTACTAATGACACTAATGTTGTTAACTTGTGTTTCTCTGGCCAGTGTCAGAAAACTATGCCCACCCAGGAGCTCAACTATCAGTTATTCTGGCT